CATGCCGAAGAGGAGATGGAGGAGGATTCAGAGAAGGAAGATGAAGAGGACAAGGAGGAGGAGGAGGAGGAGGAAGAGGAGGACAAGGAGTTTGAAAGTGAGAGGGGGTAGGAGGAGGAGAATGATGAGGACAAACATGAGGAAGAAGTGGATGAGGATTCATAGAATGAGGAGGACGAGGGGAAGGAGAAGGAAGAGGAGGAGGAAGTGAAGAGTTGAGGCCAATGCATTTGATTTTGAAGCGGAGGGGGGAGAAGACAAACATAAGGAGGAAGAGGATGTGGAGGAGGATTGGGAGACGGTAGAGGAGGAAAATGAGGAGGAGGACGAGGAGGACAAGGCGTTTGGTATCGAGGAGGAGGAGGAAGAGGAGGACGAGGAGGAGAGGACAATTATGAGGAGAAGGTGGAAAAAGCTGCAAAGAAGAAAGATGAGAAAGAGAAAGAAAGGGAGGGGGAGCTTGAGGTTGAGAAGGAGTAGGATGCTGAGGAGGAGGAGGAGGAGGGGCATCATAAACATGAGATGGTGAGATTGGATCGCAATGCGCCGCGAAAGACTGAAGTCGCTTCGCGCTGAAGCGTTTGGATTGCAATCGACGGAATTGCGGTTTGCAACGTAGCAAACCATCATGAAGAAAAACAGGAGGAAGGAACGGGTTATGCTGACTGGAGGGATGATGGGAGAATGTGTATGATCATGTGGGGGGGGGGGGGGGCGAGCATATATATATATATATATATATATATATATATATATATATATATATATACAAATAACATACATATATACATATAGATATATATATACACATATATATATATATATATAGTATATATAGATAGATAGATATAGATAGATAGATAGATATAGATAGATAGATAGATAGATAGATAGATCGATATATATATATATATATACATATATAGAGATAAATAGAGACATGGATATATATACATATATAATAACAAAAAATGGCCAGGCCGTAACAGTGCGGAGCCAGAATTGGACTGGATCGGCTGCGCCAAGATGCACAACATCATGCGCATCGGGCCGCATCGGAATCGGATCGGACGGGCAGAAAACGATATCGAATCGGACCAATCGGATTCCCAAACGCCATCTCCTGGCACCCTGTGGGGGAGCGGAAGGACAGCTGCTGCTGTTTCCGCAGGCAGTCACATGTCCACGTGGCTTCCTGCCTCCGGACCTCCCCAACGAGAGAGCTAGTCTGCGAGAGCGAGTGATCCATCTCGACTTCACCTTTCCATGCGATCCGAGAACACTCCGATTCGAACGCAACCTCCCGGCACTCCCGGGCGAACGGGATTGCGGCGACCGCTTGGCAGTTCCCCAGCTCGATGCTCCCTTCCCCCGCTGGAGCGGATGAGGGTGACGGTGATGACGACGGACGCGGGCGAGCATGACGATGCAGGCGAGGGTGAGGGTTGAGGGAGAAGGGCGAAGTCGGGGAACAACCTGATGCCATAAACATAACCGTTCAGAGTTCCGCGCTGATTTCTTGTATCCAGAGGCGCCGCCATGGGGCTCCATCGCCGATAAGAGAAATCCGCGGGGACCTCCGAAAACTTATGTTTATGCCAGTAGCCGTTCCCCGATAAAAGGGGGTCGCCTGGTTCTGCGGCGGGGGTCTTCCCGAGAGAACGAGATTCACGGCCAGGATACGGTGATCCACTGGCGCAACGTTTGTTCTTCTCCGAAGGCCTGCTACAACGATTGCGCGGGCGCACGTCCTGACTTGGCGGCGCGCACAAGGAGGGGAGTGGCGGCCATTTAAGACGGCAGGGGGGGGCGCGGCTTCCAAGAAAGGTGGCTTCTCAGAAGCCCTCGAAGCTTCACAGAAGCCCTCCGAAAAGCCTCCAAGCCCTTCTGGGAAGCAGGCAGCCCCCCGCAGGCCGCCCCCTTCGCGCCATCCTCCTTTGGGGGAGACAGGCAGGCACCGATGCCGCTACCCCCGGGACCTCTCCAGGGGTGCGCGCTGACTAGAATTTCGAAGCGAATCCAGCCGTCGCGACGAGGGAAGGGTATAGGTAGCGGTAGCTGCTCCTGCTCTGACCTTCTCATCCTCCCCTCAGCCTCATCCCCTCCCCTGAGATCCGAAGTTTTTTTGTGTTGAAGCAAAAACGTCGCAGAACATCACAGCCAGAGCCATAGGACCGTCTTTCTGCTGCATTTCTCGAGCCGGGCCGATCTGTGGTCCTGAGGCCCCACAGGCGAAGATACGCCCGGTGGGAGCAAAAAATCGCAACATCCGGATCGGAGGGCCCGTCCTCGTTCCCCTCCTCCCCCCAACCGTCTCCTCCCTCCTCCACCCTCTCCTCGACCGTCGGGCCCGAGTGGGCCTGGCGCTCACGCAACAGCGAGGACCTGACACGTCCTTCGCGGACACCGTCGACCAGGCCCTCCTCGTCCCTGCGCCAGCCAGCGCGCCGAGACCTCCGCCTCAATGGTCATGGCGGCGCCTGGCTCTGAGGGCGCTTCCTCTCCTGATCCCTGGTGTTGAGCAGGGGCCGACCGTGCCGGCATTCCTATAGTCCTACCACGAAATGTTCTTAGAACCCAAACGTGTTCTAAGAACCAAATCAATGTTCTTAGAACATATACCCGACGCGGTAAAACAAGACAGACTCCGGCAGAAATGTTCCAAGAACATTTCCTGCAGACCGCAAAAGGTCCTCAGACCATTGTTTGGTGGGGCTATGGGCGAGCCAGGACGCCTCGCCACTGCTTGATGACCCCTGGTGCGTGCCGCCAGCTGAGCGCGGCCGTGCCCCGCGCGGCCGGCACGGCGCGGGTCGGACATCCTGCAGTGCTCCCCCCTGGGAACGGGTGGCGTGGCAGCTGCGGGGGGGCGTCGCCTGCCCCCAGCAGGTGGTGCCTTCTCTTTGTGCTCGAAGCGGGCTCGATTCGGGCTCGACGCGGATGTGGTATGACGCAGATCCGGCGCCGATTCGACGCGGGTGGGGGCGCGACGGGACATCTTTGGGTTGTGTTGCATCTTCGAGGGACCTTGTCTGTCCCCTTGCGCCCCAATCCGCGTCGAATCCGCGTCGAATCAACGTCAAACCCGCGTCGAATCCGCAACAAATCCGCGCAGAGTCCCCATCGGGCCCGCGTCGAGCACAAGGAAAGAAACCAATATTGCGAGGTGGCAACATCCGAACCCTACCCCTACCAACCATTGATCCTCCTGAATCGATGGGAGGCGGGGGTAGGGTTCGGATTTCGCCATGTGCTCGACGAATCTCGAACCCTGCCCCCGCCGCCCATCGAGTTGCCTGAATCGTTGATCTGCGAGGGTGGGGTTCGGATTTCGCCGCCGATCTGTGGACAGACGAGGTCCACTGGAGATGCAACGTCAAGCAGGTGAAGTTTGCAACCCGCACCCTGGGGGTCGGGCAAGGAACCTCGACAGAGTTCTCCGCTGCGCTAGAACAGGGCAGCGTGGTGCCCCCCGAAGCCACAATGACGCAGATCGCAAACCACACCCTGGCGTAACCACACCCGTTGGTTCGGCGGCGAGCAAAGGGGGAAGTGAGAAGGAGGAGGCCCTCTCAGAAGGCTCGGGCGGCCTCTCAGGCCTCCTGAAAATCCTCCTTCTCGCTTCCCCCCCCTCGCTCGCCGCCCATTCGTAGTCGCCCCAGGGGGGGCCGCCCAAGGCATTTTCGCGGCGCCCGCGCGCGAGAGCCGTGCCGCGCACCGCGCGCAGCGAGCTGCGCTCCGGCGGGCCGTGCCCCGCACACGCTCAGGGCCCCCGCGAGCGTGGACGCGGACAGACCAGGGCACTTGGGCGAAGATCAAAAACAGGCCCTACGCGAGATGGCATTGCGACCTTACGCGGCGGCTTACGCTGGCACCCAGCGCGGCACGCTACATTGGAAACGAGGGCGCTCACGCACGACTCGACCTTGCACGAGCAGCTTACGCGCCGATGTCGGCACAATCGGCACCGTTTTCTTGCGCCGGGCACTTTGGGGGGGGGGCGTCCAAGAAAGGGGCGTGCAGGAGGGGGGGCGCAAATCCCCGTCATGGTGTCCGCCCCCCCTGGTCATGACTCCCCTCTTGGCCGCCCCCGAATTTTGGGGGAGCAGAGGCCCTGAGCTCCGGGCGCCATTTCTTCCGCACCGGGCGTTCTCGACTGGTGTTGGGCCCCCCAGGGCCCTCACATATCGATTTGGCTCGAACCATTGCAAAGACAAGTTGGGTCTCGGTCTCTGCTTTCCATGTTTGCACGATGTTGTTGAGTTGGTTGGCTGCGTCGGATCTCAGAGGACAGCATCGATGACACGCCGCCGTAGGGAACCCATCGGCGCGTTGCTGCGTTGCTGCTGAAGGAGCACGAGGTCTTCGGACAACAAGGAGCTCGTGACACGCAGCGTGCCATTGATACCCAGCCCACCTCCGAACAGTGACCAGAGTGGGGCTGAGCCCCATCCCTACGATTGACGAGCCCAGGGCGACGACAATCTGAGAGATGCGCCCTCGTCAACCAGAGGCGTCCTTCAAACCGGAAGCGAGATGGTGATGCCAACCGTGGGTAAGTATAGCTATGCCTCAGGCTGGCAAGGCAGCGGCGCACCAGGGAACCGGCTGCAGCCGTGGGCCAAAACAGGCCCTATCCTTCGTTCTCCCCCACCGGATCTGGCAGGCATCCTGGTCAGCAGAGTCCTGGCTTTCGGGGGCCCTGGCCTATATCCGCGCCCTCCTGTCCTCCCTCCCCCCCCCTCGCGCCTCTCCGTGCCCTCCCCTCTACGCTAAGCTGCCGTCGAGGATCTACGTCTTCGACCATGGACCCCTTGTTACCCATCGGCCTTGGGCAGTCATCGGTAGTCTTCGGACGGTCTCTGGTGGTCTTCGGTGGCGTCCGACGGTCGTGCTGGATGATTGCGGTTAACACAAGGCCCATGATCCAACTTCATTGAGAATCACATGCGAAGCCATGCAAAACCCAAGCCAAGATTGGACTTGATCCTGGCAACTGCTCAATCCATGTCGGACTCCTCGTCGCTCATGCCCCGGATATACAGGACGTTGTTGCACCGAATGAAAACCTCTCCCAGATTCCCCCGGAAGCTGCCGTCGACCCACTCCTCTGTGTTCAGCAGCTGCAGATTCATGTACGGGTCGATCGATTTCAGAGTTCCCTTGTACTCCATACCCCACTTCAGCTTCACGAGGACGAGCTTACCAGTAAGATCATTCAAGAAGGGCTTGGGGTTCACAGGCACTGTCGCCATCGCCGCTGCTCTGGGCTGGCGCGGCCTTTGGCCTAACGCGGCTTGAGCCAAAATTTGCTAGCCCACTCTGGTGCTCCAACGGTGATCCATGGTAAAGTGTTCGCTCACCTGCTCCTAAATATGCCATCTACGGCCTCCCGAGTTGACTCGCGTTGAGGCTTGCATGTTGATGGGGAGACTATCCTGACACTTGCGCTACAGAGTTCTTGCTGCAGTCCTACGCAATTGGCTGGCATTTCTGGGTTCTCGCCTGGCGGGCGCCCATGAACGCCTCGTGGGCGCCCTGTGCGCTGGCTGGCACTCCAAAACACCAGACCCTGAACCCTCAACCATAGACCCTAAACCCTCACCAACAAGAAAGCGGCCACAGAAGTCCTGACCCCTTTCCCCGTCGGTCTCTGTCCTGGATCCACTCGTGAAGGCCCCTGGGCCCAGTGACGGCCCTCGGAGGCTGAGTTCGACGAGAAACGCCCCTACTGAACGAAAACATGTCGTCGGAGATTTGGGCTTGAGGCAGTTTTTTCTATAGGTTCTGGCAAATTTCCTTGCATGGAGAGGGAGGAGGAGAGGGGCTCAGCGAGGCCCGGAAAGAACTTTGGAGCCGCTGCCAGTCGGGACTCGCTTGCACGCCGCTTCGGCCCAACATCGCTGCACGGTTGCACGAGGCGGCGGGGGAGGGGAGGGGCAAAACCCCATGTAAAATAACCTGCTTGACCTCAACGAAACACGCGCCCGTGAGGCGCCCGTGGGCGTATCGTGTGCGTCACCGCCGATCCTGTCGGCGTGTGTGAGGGGCTTGTCCGTTCAAGTCGTCATCTCCGTCATTCGTTGGTCGTCGTCTCTGTCGTCTCCTTTCCCCGCCTCCTCCCTTTTCCTGGGCTCGTCGAAGGTCCCCCCTTTCCCAGGGGCCTCCTCAGCGCGCCAGCCAAAGCAAAGTTGAGCAACGTCGTAATTGAGTCGAAGGGAAGCCCCTTCCCTTCGATCCCTCCCCCCCGGGGGGATTGGAGGGAGGGTCCTGGGGAGGGGGGGGGGTCAGATACCCCCTGGGAGTCCCGGAGCCCCAAAAAGCCCCAAGACGGGCCAAGAGTGCCCCAAGAGGCCCCAAAGGCAGTCCAAGAGAACCCCGAATCGCCAAACGATCTGTCCAAGACGCCTTGACGACCTGCAGACTGCCCAAGAGGCCTGCAAAGCGCCCCAAGAGGCCTCCAGGAGCTTTCCCACGAGAGCCCCAAGGTGCAAAATTCATAGATTTCCCATACGTGTTTGGAAGATTTTGGCGTTCTTGCCTCTTCCGCTTCCCGACGCGCCAAGACGGCCCAAGAGGCCCTCAAGATCGCCCCGAGACGGCCCACGAGGCCACCAAGAGGGTCCCCTAACGGCCGAAGAGGGCCCCAAGACGGCCCAAGACGCTTCCAAGACGGCCCACGAGGGCTCCAGGAGAGTGCCCAGACGGGGGACCCGACTGGACATTTCGAGCTCTCAGCAACAAGGGGCCCCCAAGAGGCACCGAAGAAGCCACAAGAGGCCCCAAGAGGCTCCCAAGGGGCCCCCAAACTGCCCCAAGACAGCCCAGGAGAGCCCCAAATTGCCCAGGAGGCCTCCAAGAGTGCCTCGAGAGGCGCAAGAGGAGCCCTGGACGGCCCAAGACGGCCTCAAGAGAGCCCCAGGTTGTCCCAAGAAAGCCTCTGGCCTCCTCCTCCTCCTCCTCCTCCTCCTCCCTCCTCCCTTGTCCACCTCCTCCACCCTTCCTCCACCTCCCACTCATCCTCCTCCCCCTGCCCCCCTCGTTTTCATCTTCGTCGTTTTCAGGGTCGGCGGCACCGGCCGCAAGGCCTTCGCAATACCTTGCTCGACCTCCACGAAACACGCGCCCGTGGGGCGCCTGAGGGCGTCTCGACCGGCGGGGCGCCCGTGGGCATCTTGTGGTGTGCTCTGCGGGCCCGTGCGCCGGAAGGCCCGTCCGAGCCTTCGTCCAGGAGGGCGCCCGCCGTGGCCGCCTCGCGCGCCACGGCTGGTGTCACCGGGTGCACCATGCAGTCGCGCTGCGGAGGTAAGGAACGATCAATGGGGAACAAAGTTCCTTTCTGGTCCCAACACGCGCCTGCGTGCACGAGGAGGGCTAGAGGAACAGCCATGGAAGAGCCCCTTCCGAACCCAACCGTTTCCTTACTTCAGCGTCTTGGCTGTATAGGATTGCGCCACATTCAGTCTGCCCAGCGTAGACTGCGCCACATCGCGTGCGCAAAGCATCTTTCGGTTCTAGAGCATTAACTTAGCGTTGTCGTCGTTATCGCCGTCGCCGTCGCCAACAACGTCGTAGTCGTCGTCGTCGTCGTCGCAGCCGTCGCCGTCGCCGTCGTCGGCGTCGTCGTCGTCGCCGTTTCCGTCGTCGTCGTCGTCGTCGTCGTCGTCGTCGTCGTCGTCCCTTTCAAGATCGCCGGCACTGGCCGTAAGGCCTTCGCAATATCATGCAACACCTTTCCTGCAACACATAAAGTGCATCAACCCTTTTGGCGCTGCTGCGATGGCTCGGTAGCAGCTGGAACTGGGTATGGATCCGCCACCGTGCCTTTGCACGTTGAGGCGTAGAAGACGGCCGAAAGCTGCCTGGTAGGATTTCTATTAAGGGACCCTCCTTACTCGCGTCTCCTTGCATGCATCGCCCCCCATCATGGGGCCACGATCAATAACTATGGATCCGCCTCCCGTGGCCACGACCCCTCGTGAAATTTTAAAAATGGATCACCGTCCTGAGATCCCAAGACGGCTCCTGCAGACAACCAAGGACATCAAGATGGCCCAAGATGCCTCGACGACGGCCCAAGATGGCTCCAAGGCGGCCCAATCTGGTCTCAAGGGGGTTCGAAACAATTTAGCAGTCTCACCTTCCCAGGCTTCCGTCAGCTCGAGACGGCACAAGAAACCTCCACGATGGCCCCAGGACTGCCCAAGAGACCCCCGAGAGGGTTCCAAGATGGTCCAAGAGTTCCCACGTTGGCCCAATAGGCACCCAAGACCCAAGACGGCCCCAAGATGGCCCAAGAGAGCCTCCCGTGGGACCCCAAAACACCCGGGAAAGCCTGTCGACGACCCAAGACGGCCCCACAAGGGCCCCAAAGCACCCACCATACGGCCAAGAGGGTTCCAAGACGGCCAAAAATGGGCCCAAGGACGGCGCAATAGGGCACCTAAGACAGCACAAGAGGCCCCAGGGGACCTCCAAGACTGCATCACAGAGGGCGCCGACAGCCCCACGACGGCCCGCACGAATTCTATGAGAACTCCCCGAATAGTAAAGACGGCACATGTCAAATGTGATGGCCTTCCTTTTCCTCCTCCTCCTCCTGCACATATGCATTCTCCTCCTCGTCCTCATCATCAACGTCATCACCATCGCCATCCTCCTCCTCATCTTCCTTTTGCTCCTCATCACCACAACCAACCTCAACCTCACCATCACCATCATCATCATCATCATCATCATCATCATCATCATCATCATCATCATCACCCCCACCATCGTCATCACCACCAGCGCCATCAGCATCACGACCACCACCAACACCACCACCACCATCATTACCGTCAGCCATATTGATCATCCGCATCATCATAATCATGTTCACCAAAATCAGCTTCATCATCATCAGCATCGTGATCATCATCAGCATCACCATCAATTTCGACCTCACCATCACTATCGTGATCATCACCACCACCATTAGCACAGTCAGCGCCACCATGACCACCACCACCATCATCACCATCATCATCAGCAGCATCATCTCCAGCACCAGCATCAGCACCAACACCAACATCAGCATCAACAGCGTCATCTGCATTACCATTAGCATCATCATCACCATCATCAACATCACCATCATCAGTAACATCATCCCCAAGCCCTGCAGACACGAGGTGTCACACATGACGGCCTCCCGTGCCCCTCGGACAATCGCCTCCCGCGAGACTTGCCGCCAACAATTGGTAAACAAAGACCTTCGTTGGCGCGATGTGTTCGAAATGCGCCACCCAGAACCTCACGACCTTTTCCCAAGGTTGGCTTCTCAATCTGACACGTTGTCTGACGGCCTTGGGCCCCAAACCAGCATCAAGAAACCCAAAAGTCCCTGCCTTGCCAAACAAACCATACATTACCGCGTCAAGTTGTCTCGACTGATACGAAGGAGGGTCGTGGGCCTGGGCGGGACATGCACTCATGTCAACGGCCTCGCGGTCCGGACTGCTCGGCCACAAACCCGACAGGATGCACGGCGGCTCTGTGCGGATGCCCCGCGCGAAACGCACACACTGAATCCACCCTCCGTAGGATCGCGCCAAAGTATGAAAGCCGACAAGCGCGACAGATCAGCAAAAGCTCCGCGCAGCTAACAAAACAAAAAACAGAAGAGCGTGCAGCCCAGGCGAGTCGCAACGCGATCTCGCCAGCACGCAGCCAGACAAGGCGAGGATGACACACTAGGCATGGCATCAGTTAAAGCCCAGTCTGCACCAGCGTTGGGCGCAGGGCACCTAGCACATTTCAGCTTGCACGGTAGAGGCCCCCCAAAGGTCTCCATGAATATTCAAAAGGCTCTCAAGAGGCTCCCAAGAGACCCCCGAGAAATTCAGGAAGACCCATGTTGAATTTTCCGGTCCTTCTCGCATACAACGTCGGCGGCACCGGCCGTAAGTTGGAAGCGGTACATCGACACTCGTAGTACTTTGGAATAGTTGTTTGCTAGGGGAAACAAGCCTTCCGTAAAGTGTTGTTGCTCTGTTGCGCGACAACCGCGGCGGCGCGTCCGAATTGCCGAGCCACCTCCTGCGCTCGCGCCCTGCATCTTCAGCCCAGGAACACCCACAACTCGTTGAACACATGTCCAAGGGTCTCCGCGGCCCGATGCAACGCGACCCTGATTACTCGAGCGAAAGCATCGCGGGGGGAACCGGCAGGAAAGACAAGGGCCCCCCGCCCCCCGACCGGGCCCTGGCCCCGCACCACCACCGCATCCCCAGGGTTCTAGTAAGGCAGACCGCGGACTTTACTAGAGCGAGGAAGCAACTGTACTAAAGCGAAAAAGCGGCTTTACTAAAGCGAATATGCGGCTTTACCAGAAGCGAGGAAGCGGTCTTAGTAAAGGCGCGCCGCTCGATACATTCTGCACAACAGCGATGTTTTACTCAAGCGAAACAAGAGCTCTAGTAAAGCGGAGGAACGGCTGGGGAAAAACTGCACGCAAAACTTTCGCTCCTCCCATAAAATCAGGCCCGAGATTCCAGAAGCGAGGGCGGGGCGCAAGTTCGCCCGTGGGCCCGGGCCCCGTCGCCGCTGTCGCCGCAATGTTCGTCGTCGCAGCCGTCGCTGTTGACGCCGTCGTCGTCACCGTCGGCGCAGGCGTCGCGTTATTACCAGCGGCGGGTCGCGCGTTACCGCGCGCGCCACTGCGCTCGCATGTCCGCTCGTCCGACGAGGACCCAGGCGGACATCATGATTTTTGGGGGGCTCACAACTCGTTTAAAGAAGTAATGGGGGAAAAAAGACTCTGAGCAAGGCCTTCACAGTAGAAAGCCGCTGCAGGAGGACGAAGACGAGGAAGATGACAGTGCCTAAGACTTCGCGGAGAATCAGACCAGATGTTCGGCACTATCGCTTCCAATGGGAGAGCTTCGTATAGACTTCGCGGCGGTGCAAGCTTGCCCGGCGACGATAAGCCCTAAGCCCAACCAACCCCGTAAGAACCAGGCCAACCCTCCTGGCCCCCCCCCTCCGGTCAGCCCTTGTTAGGGCAAGTCTTTCCATCATCTATATTATGTATGTGTGTATGTATGTATGTATGCATGCATGCATGTCTGTCTGTCTGCCTGTCTCTCTGTCTGTCTATGTTTGTATGTATGCATGCATGCATGTAGTATGGTACGTGTGCATGCATGTGTGTATGTGAGTATGTATGTATGTATGCATGCATGTGCATGTATGTGTGTGCGTAGTTCTGTCAGTTTGTAGGTATGCAGGTATGTAGGTATGTAGATATGTATGTATGTATGTATGTATGTATGCATGCATGCATGTATGCATGTATGTATGCATGTATGTATGTATGGATGGATGCGTGTATGTGCGTATCTATATCCGCGGGCCCTGAATTCCTACGGGGCCGTGGGATATAACACATTTGCTTCGAACGATCCCCACCGAAACATTGGGCCCCTGTCCTCCTCCTCCTGCCCCATGCCTCCTTCCATGCCTCCTTCCCCCCCTCCCATCCTTAGACTGAGGGACGCAGGCGAGGAGGCCGCCCGCGGCGGGGCGGCGGCAAAGACTGCGGGATTCTCGGGACAACTGGGGGTCTGGCCTGGTTTGGGTTTGTTCTGTGATGTTCTCTTGTGCTCCGGTTTGGTTTGTTCCGTGTTCTGCGGTTATCTGTTATGTGAGGTTATGTTGTGGTTTGATATGTGATGTTCTGGTGTGCTCTGTTCTTTCATGCTATGCATTGTTTTGTCATGTTATGTCATGCTCTGTTTTGTTATGTCGTGTTTTGTCTACTATGTTGGTCTGTTCTGGCGTGATATGCTCTGATATATAATGTGATGTTATGTCATGCTATGTTGTGTTATGGTACTGCCATGTTATGTTCCGTCATGTCGTGCCATGGTTGTATTATGGTATGTTATATTATATTGTGGCACGTTGTGTTCTGTCGTGTTCGTCGCTATGCTCTGTTGTCGTGATATGACATGTTCTAAACGCTGTGTCATGATATGATATGTCCCGTCAAGGAGCGTTCTGTTATGTTAATGTGTGCTCTGCCGTTTTCGGTTATGTAATGTTCTGCCCGGGTATGGTTTGTGATGATATCGGATGCTCGATGTTGTCATGATATTGCTATGTTATCCTGTCATGTTCTGTTGTGTACTGTTGTGCTGTTTCGTGTTTGTCGAGGGCGCGAGGCGAGACTCCCAGGGACACTCGGGGACTCTCGGGAAAACTTGGGGTCTGGCGGCCGCGGCATGCAGTTGTGTTTGTCGAGGGCGAGGGGGCGGGACTCCCAGGGACTCTCGGGGATACTGGGGGATTCTCGGGACGGGGTATGCAGGGTGGGGTTGGCCGGGGGCTTGTTCTTGAAATCTAACAGCCCCAACCTGTCGGGTGGGGAAAAACATGAGATTCGCGCTCCCGGCAACATAATCCCTCGTACGTCACGCTATTGTCGCGTCCCCGAAGGTGCGATCCTTTGCAAAATGCACCACATTCGCGCCCCCGAATCCAAGATCTCGCGTTAATCACGCTACGTGTGCGCCTCTGGAGCCACGATCCCTTGTACATTACGCTGCAGATGCGCCCCCGAGGCCACGATCCCTGGTACATTGTACAAGATTCGCGTCCCCGAGGCCCGCAACCCTGGCAACTTATACAAGTCGTGCGTCCCAAATGCAACAAACCATCGTAAATTGTACCATGTTCGCTTTCCCGAGGCCATCCGCCTCCGCAAATTACGTAATGTTTGCGCCCCCGAGGCAACAACCCCGCGTAGAGTATTCAAGTTGTGCGTCCCCGAAGCGACACACCTTCGCAAATGATATAAACTTCGCGTCCACGTGGCCATACACCCTTGCAAATTACGCCATATTCGTATTGCCGAGGCCAAGAGTGCTCCAAGGCATCCGAAGATGGTTCCAAGACGGCCCAAGAGAGTCCCAAGAGGCTCCAAGAGCGCTCCAAGAGGCCTCCCGAGAGAGCCCCAAGAGGCCAACATCGGCGATGTTATACAGGTTTTGAAAGAGTTTGGGGTTCTCGCATGTTGGGCTTTCCGACGCTCAAAGATGGCTCAAGAAGCTCTCAAGACAGCCTCAGGACAGCCTTAAGACGCCTCTCAGAGGGCCCCAAGACGGCCCGAGCGGGCTCCAAGATGGCCCAAGAAGCGTCCTTCCGAGAATACCCCACGAGGCCCCAAGAGGCCCCCAAGAGGCGCCGAAACCGCCTCCAAGAGGCCCCCGAGAGGCTCCCCAGAACACCCCAACACATACACAAGGGGCCTCATACCCACAACCCAGACACGGTGGCGGAATGGGCCAAAGGCCACTAGGATAAAGCCAACGCCTCAATATGCGCTGCTGATTCCGATCCGCCCCCGCATGATGTTCCCAGATGCGCCAAGGCACCGCCGAGACGCACAGACGCGACTCTGATATATCCCATTATGATAGAGAGGGGCGCCGGCGGCGGGGGGCGAAACACTTGCGGATATATGTATATACACATCCCCGCTCGGAAGAAGTGCCCCCCCCCAGCCGGCACTGTTTTGAAAAACCGACTGCCGCGGACGCGATGGCACGCGTCAAGTGCCTGAGGGGGTGAGAAGACGCTAGGCTGCTCACCAGGAAGACTCCGAAAACTCATCCCCGTTTTCGCTTGCTCCGAAAAGGCTAGCCGCCCTGGAGGGGCCACGCTCAACACTGCATAGAACTACGAATGTGAAAAGAAGAAGAAGACGAAGAAGAAGAAGAAGAAGAAGAAGAGAGGGGAGGAGGACGGGGGACGGGTGGTGCCGAAAAGGCTAAGGAGGACACCGACAGCGAGATAACACACCAACATGCATACATGCCCGCTCGGAAGAAGTGCCCCCCCCCAGCCGGCACTGTTTTGAACAGCCGACTGCCGCGGACGCGATGGCGCGCGTCAAGTGCCTGAGGGGGTGAGAAGACGCTAGGCTGCTCACCAGGAAGACTCCGAAAACTCATCCTCGTTTTCGCTTGTCACGACTTGCCAGCATTTCATTGCGCAGGACCTTGTTGAGTGAGGCCAGCAGTCGTCCAGGCAGACCTTTTCAGAGCTTCTGTGCTTGGGCCACATGACTAGGGGGGACCTTATGCTTCGGAGCAGCGCCGCAGGCTTCATATAGATCCGCCAACTTTCTGCACACATCCAGCGGCCCCGGCTCTGAATGTCAGGCAGGCCAACACCGTTCTTGAACGCGTCATGCGACGGGCCTCCGTGCCTCATCCCGCGCGGCACCACCTTGTAGCCTAGGTGGTCGGAGGCTTGGTTGAAGGCCTTCTCGACAGCAGCCAGCGTGAGCCCTCTGAACAGCAGCTCGCCTGGCTTCGTCCGCTCGAAGACACTCTTGAGCAGGGGCTCCATCCAGCGACGATCTTGCCAGGCAGCCACCACCCCCGTGTCGACCTGCCGGTTCTTGGCGGGCCTGTCTCTGGCCGAGGGGGCCACCGTGATGCTCCGCTTCTGGATCGAGGCGCCCGTCACGGGCGGGCACAGATCCCCCTTGCGGAGCTCGATCGCCTCGGACGGCCAGAGGTAGCAGTCCCAGGCCAGCACGGCGGAGAACCCGACGAGGTGCAGCTCGTGCTGGATGAAGAAATCGACGAACAGCCAGAGCATCTCCTCGCACGGTGGGCCCCGTGACTTCTCTGGCGCTCTTCGAAAGAAAGCGCGCAGCGTGGCCTTGGCAAGAGCACAGCAGCTGGGGGGCTTGATCGGAAAGTCCAATGTCCAGGCCACGCCGTAGAGGGCATAGCGGGCAGCGCTCACTGCAGCGCCGTCCAGGAAGAGGAACTCCATGTACTCGACGAGGAGCTTGTCCGATTGCCCCACGTCGGCGACGGCTGGAACAGCACGGGCGAAGCGGGCCACGGCAGCGCAGCAGTCACGATAGCGCTGCTGCGTCGTAGGGCCCACCGCCAGGCGACGTAAAAACCCAGGACCCTCTTCAGCGTGGCGTCGGCGTCGCTGTCCTGCAGCCCGACGATCGGCGGCGGCCAAGCCCCTGGCGGTCAGCGAGGACGCCCAGCTCCCACTTGAGCGGCTGCCCGCCCCAATGCCCGTCTGCCGACTCCCACCCGAGCATGGCCTCAGTCGGGAGGGGTTCCACCTGGACGAAGTGACTGACCTTCTGGCCGAGGCAGGCTGCCAAGTGCTCCGAGCGGCATCCCACAGCGCCCCCGCCAGGCGGCGGCAAAACTGAGGAGGGTAAGGCGAGGCGAAAGACGTCCTCCACCGCCAGCGAGCCGGCGCCGTCGCCGCGGCTGGGAGGTGAACCAACCCTTGCAGCACGACGTGTCGCGCATGCCCGGGGCACCTGGCCTCCGCGCGCGCAAGGCCCTGCAGGTTGCCCACGAGCAGGGTCGGCTTCTTCCATGCTGCGCCGAAGGCGCACATGTCCAGCTCCACGCGAACGGCAGCAGCACGCCTAAGCAGGCTCTCCAGCGGTGGCCAGCTCCAGAGATGGCTCGACCGAGGGTTCTCGATGACGAACTGAGCGCCAGCGTCCAGGCAGGCCCGCACAGCTCGACACGAGAACTTGGCGCAGGCGATACCGGAGGCCGACGCGGCCGAGTCCGCCATCTCGCCACCTCGCCGAGCAGCGCTCCAGCGCGTGCAGGGGGTCCCCAGGGCGACGGCCCAGATCGAGCCGCACAAGATCCACTGCACGATGGCGTCCGCGATCGGGGCCCTGGTGACGTCGAAGTACTCTGCGTTGATGATCGACTGGGGCAGCGCAGCGAAGCCCGCCGGCCAGGGCGCCCGCGGTGGGGCGGCAGCACCCAGCGAAGAGCTCGAGGAAGTACACCTCACCACGCTGTCTGAGCCCGCGGTGCCGAAGGCGACGAGCAGCGCTCCCCGCCGCGGCCAGCGGCGGGCTGTCACGCACGGCCTCTTCGCCCGCCTCTGTCGCCCGAGGGGTCGGTGACCTTTCCCTGCTCCGAACGGGATCCAGAAGGTCACCGCGGTCCTCGCAGGGCCCCTCGGCGAGCAACGGCGGGCTGTCACGCGCGGCCTCTTCGCCCGCCTCTGGCGCCCGAGGGGTCGGTGACCTTTCCCTGCTCCGAACGGGATCCAGAAGGTCACCGCGGTCCTCGCAGGGCCCCTCGGCAAGCAGCGGCGGGCTGTCACGCGCGGCCTCTTCGCCCGCCTCTGGCGCCCGAGGGGTCGGTGACCTTTCCCTGCTCCGAACGGGATCCGGAAGGTCACCGTGGTCCTCGCAGGGCCCCTCGGCGGGCCGCCATCGGCGGGCGGCGGCTGAGAGCGGCTCGGCGGCCGTCGGGGGCTTCTCGGCGCGGGCGAGCGGGCGGTCCAGGCGCCCAGCGTCTCGAAGTTCGGCAGCCCCGCCCTGCGCGCTCTGACCTGCCCCGCGCCACCGCAACCTGGAGGCGAAGTCCGAGGGGTTGCGGTCGGCGCGGATGTGCCTCCGCGCCCACCGCACGTTGGCAGCGATGTGCCATGCGGTTCCCCGTCGGAGCAGCGCCAGCAGCTCCCAGGCTCGAGCTCGCCCGCGATCGCAGGCGAGGATCTCAGACATGTTGTCCCCGAAGGAGAGCAGCGCGGTGTTGCGGTTGGCACTGTCGCTGCAGTGGTCGGCGAGGCCCATGAGCGCAGCGCGGGCCGCCAGGTTGTGGATCTTATCAGGACGCTTCCAGCTCCCAGCTCGGATGCATCTCCAGCGCTCGGGGGGGCCCCACTCATGGCCGAGAGCAGGCGCCGGGCCAACAACCTCCACGACATCGCCCAGCTGCGACTCACTCGGGATGACGGCGACACGCGACTCCCGCAGCCGACCCAGCTCCTGATCCACCTCGCGGGCGGCCCAGGCGCTGAACGTCTCCCCGCCCGTCTCCAGCTCGCGGGTCCCGTCGGGCAGGGCACCAGCACCGCAGTCGTCCTCGTGCTCGTTCTCCAGCTCCCTGAACCTCCAGCGCTCGCGGTAGATGGCCGCAGCCCATGCCTCCCGAGAGGCGTCGCCCTCGTGATGTGGACGGCGCACGCGTGCGAGCTGGAGTCGCTGCAGTAGACGTGCTCCGCGATGGGGCGGCCGAGGTCCGAGACGGCGAAAGGCAGGGGGGCCCTGATGAGCCTGACCTCGGCGAGCTCGTTGGCGTCGAACTCCCCCCGCTCCCCGCGGCCGCCCCCGATGGACGGGCGCAGGTGCTGCAGGGTCGAGAGCAGCTCCCGCCTGGTCGAGAAGTGGTCGACGATGTGTCCAACCACCCGCCTGACGATGCCCGGGGCGGAGCCCTTGGTGAACTCGAGCTCGCGGAGGGCGTGCCGCAGCCGCCACATGCGCGACGGCCTGGGAGCGAATGACCGTCTCGTTCCCTCGATCCGCCTGCCCACCAGCTACAGCTCCGTGGTCGGGTCGACGTTCTCGTGAATGACGAAGCCCATGGCGTGCAGCTCCTCCGAGAGCGCCCCGCGGGGCGCGGCGGTCGCCTCGAGCGAGCCCCCGATGACGTTCCCGTTGTCGACGTAGGGCGCCACCGCAGCAAACCCAGGGCCGAAAGCAAGGCTGGGGCGCCAGTCGGCCAGCGGCTCGCCGCCGCACCCGACCTTGCACATCGCTCGGCGCCCAGCCTCCTCCAGCGCGCTGTGGCAGAAGAAGAGCGCCCAAGACCAGCCCCTGGCGAGCCCGCCGAAGCAGGCCCACAGCTGGTCGTCAGGGCTGACGGGCTCCATCCTCGCGGCGTCCTCGTCGTGCACAGCCGCGACGTTGAGCCCCCTCGCGGTGTAGATCTCGCCCGGGCAGAACCGCGACGCCATGGTGGGAAGCCCGAACTGATAGAACCCGTCCTTGAGGTCGACCCCGGCCCCCGAGATACAGACCTCGCCACCCTCCTTTCCGAGGGCGCCGCCTGGCCGGGGGGGGGGGGGCCAAGATGGGAAGAGTCCTCGGCGCATAGCGCGAACCACTGGTCACTGAGGTTAAGGCAACTGAGAGCCCCAGGGGTAGCCAGACGGGACTTCGGCGGCCTCTTGTGGAGCTCGTTAACTGGTATGACATCCAACACGAAGCGGATCGCGTCCTTATCTTTCTTCTTGACAAAGAACATGCCCACGCGCCCGAGCCGACGCCGTCTGTAGGCGATGGGCCCAACGGCATCGAGTCGTCGAATGAGGTCACGTCGGCGTGGGCCTGGCTGTCGAAGAGAGGGGCCCCAGTGTGGCTGGATCGGCTCGGGGATCGCAGCTCTGGCGGCGGCGTCGAGGACGATCTTGGAGTTCGGGTTGTCGAGGTACTCCCGCGCGTAGTCACCGACGAGCTCCCTGGCGTCGATGGGCCGCGTGCGACCTTCGAGAACCTTGAGCTTGCTCGGGGCGCACCTCGCAGAGGTCGAAGTGTCCTCCACATCGTAGATGGATGAAGACCGCACCAACTCAGCCAAAGCGCCTCCCTCGAAGGAGGAGTTCGGGATCGGCGGGTCGAAGAGCTTGACCATCCTGGCAATGTTGGCGAGCATGGGCCGTTGGCAATCCGACCGCTCATGCCCAGGAACGCGGCGGGGCAATGCGATCCGCACCCCCTGGCCCGCCCTCGAGTCGGCGAGCGCTTTGAGCGAGGCGACGGCGTCGGCCGCCAGCGTCTCGGCGCGCTCACGCCTGGCCCTCCGGCGAGCGGCCTCCCGATTGGCAGGCCGCGCTTCCCGCGCGCGCTCGACCGCGAGCGGCAGCGGGAAAGGCGACGGCGAAGGCGGCACCGAGTCGCCCCCCTCACCAGCGCAGGGCCCAGCGCCAAGCTCAGCGCCAGCCCAAGCCACCATGGTGCAGCGGCAGCTAATTCTTGTCCTTCTCCTTCTTCTTGGCTGCCCGCTTCTCCTCCTCCTCCTCGGCGTATGAGCGCTGCTGCTTGAGTGCGTATGCGTGTGTCTGCTGTTCCCCCGCCACGTACCTCGCGAAGTCCACGACGAGGGCGCCCCCCGCAGAGTCCAGCTTCGAGGCGACCATGACCGACGTGCCCTTGAAATCTGGCGCCTTCGGGTTCCTCTTGACCGCGGTGTGGATCTGCAAGACCAGTCGGGCAGCGTGTTCCGCCCCAGCAAGCTCTCCCAGGTTCAGCTGGTCGAAATTGCAGAAGTGGAGCAGCGTCGTCAGCAGGTCGCGATGCTTGTAGCTGATCTGGCTGTCGGGGCCGACGCCACTGCTCCAAACCCAGTAGTCGTGGAAACCTCCCAGCTCTTCTCCCGGGGCCTGAACAGCGCGAAGAAGCTCCTTCACCGCCGAGGGCCCCTCGAACGGCCAGTCTGCCTCCAGCTCCTTGGGGTCGATCCAGCTCATCTCCCCCATGGCGGACCTGAGCGACCGATAGCGACCTCCTGTCGAGTCGCGATCCACAGGAAGGATCCTCGGATCGCGCCCTGGCCCTGTCCTCTTCTCCTCCTTCCACTCGTCCACGTGCTCTGGCGCGAGCCGCTCCGCGGTGGTCCACATGGTCTCGCCGTCCTCCTCGACCCTCACCAGCGCGGTCGCATCCCGCGAGACGAAGGTGTTCGGGTTGGCGATCACTCCTGAGTCGATCACCTCCCCAAACTTCGCAAAGGCCGTGTCGGCGAACCTCCACGCGGCGGCCGAGACCGCGGCGGCTGGGCCCGCGACGGCTGCACCATGAATCAGAGCCAGCGCCCCGCATTCCCGTCTGATCTCCGCCAGCTGCTGATCCGTGAGGGCATCGGGGCCGTAGTAGCTCGCCCTCACGCGCGCGGGCACGGGCTGTCCCCTCGTCAGCGGGATGACGTGGAGCTCCGACAAGTCCACGATCTGCGTGTGCAGGTCTGGCGTGGCTCCTGCCCATCGGGCATCCGCGATCCTGACGACCAGCATCCGCCAATGGTACTCGAAGTTCGGATCGTCTCGAAACCTCACCGCGATCTGCAGCTCGGGGATGTCTAGTGCCGACGCCATCTAGACTTAGGGCCTCGGCCGTCTGGGCCTCCACTCGGTGACGACGGTGGAGATCTCCGAGGCCAGTGCGCTCCCATCCTCGCCCGTCGGCGCCGAGAGATGCACCGGGCGGCTCGGCCCCTGCGGCTCGAGGGCCGCGAGCGGTCTCCCCAGCGCGCCCTTGGGCGAGCTGCCAGCCTGCCAGCGCCGCGAGCAGCACCAGCCCCACGCCAGAAGCACCACCGAGGCCCCGCTGGCCGCGCCCGCGGCGAATGCAGGGAACCCGCCGCTGGGCGGGCACCGGCAGTCCACGCGGCCCGGCCGTGATGTCTGATCTGCCAACTGCGCCCCAGCCGGGCAAGTGCAGTGGCAGTGGAAGTCCGCGGGCTGCCCTGGGCACGCAAGGCACGGCGGGCACGTGACCGCCGGGGAGCACGCCGGACAGGCCGAACACTCGATCACCAGCGCGCAGTCTGGGCAACCCGCGCCAGGCGCCCAGATGCTCGAGACCCAGGTCCCGAGCAGATGCGAGAACACAGCGCACGCCACGCCCGCCAGGAGCATGCACGGCTGCGTGCGCTCCGGGGGCGCGCGCGCGCACCAGCTATTGCCGAAGAGGCTAAGGAGGACACCGACAGCGAGATAACGCACCAACATGCATATATATATATATATACACCTATACGACCACCCTTCGGGTGATAAGGAGGTTCGGGGGGGGAACCACCGTCTCACTCAATCGGTCTCACAATCGATCTCAGTATCGATCTCACTATCGGTCTCGCTCGATCGATCTCACTTGGTCGATATCACTCGATATATCCTCTTCGATCGATCTC